TATTATTAACTTATGTATTTAAACATAGACAACATGTTCTTTTGATGTAACTCTGATAGTCTTTGATGGCTTCCTTGCTTTCTGCAATGATAGTATATTCCTCAGTCATTTGGTACAATTTTTGCCCAGAACTGGAATCAGCTATTTCTCTGAGGAGCTCTAGTTAAACATTGCAGCTCTTTTTTTCTCCCAGTGTTATTGAGGTATAATTGACAAATAAAATTTGAATATAATTACTGTGTAGGATGTGAATTTTTGAGATATGTATACATTGTGAAATGATTGCCAAAAACCAACGAATTGACTTATCCATCACCTCACACAGTTATCTTTTTTTGTGTGATGATAACACTTAAGATCCACTCTCTTAACAAATTTCTGGTATAATATAGCATTTATTTATTTATTTATTTTTAGAGACAAGGTCTCGCTCTATTACCCAGGCTGGAGTGCAGTGGTCTGATCAAAGCTTACTGCAAACTCGAACTACTGGACTCAAGTGATCCTCCTGCCTCAACCTCCTAAGTAGCTGGGACTACAGGCATGCACCATCACATCCAGCTAGTTTTTAAATGTTTTTCATAGAGATGGGGTCTTGGTATGTTGTCCAGGTTGGTCTTAAACTCCCGGCCTCAAGCGATCCTCTCACCATTGTAATTCTACTGTTTGTCTCTATGAGTTCAACTTTTTCAGATTCCACATACAAGTGAGATCGTAACAGTATTTGCCTTCTGGATATATGTCCAAAGGAAATAAAATCAGTATTTCAAAGAGATATTTGCACTGTTGTTCATTGCAGCACTATTTACAATATCCAAGACATAAAAACAACCCAGTGTCTATCAATGAATGAATGGATAGAGAGAATGTGATGTGAATATATATATAAATAAAAATATGTAATGGAATATTATTCGTCTATAAAAAAGAAGGAAATCTTACCATTTGCAATAGCATGGATGCACTTTGAGAAGACTGCAGTGCTTGATGCATGTTCAGGAAAAGGCAAAGTCCCTGCAATGTGGTGGGCAGTAAAACAAGGCATTTGATGGCCCCACACTCCTCCCTGGAATCTAAGGTGAGTACACCAGCGGCGGACTTCTAAGAGCAGATGTGCTCAGCTGGAGACAGTGCTTTTGCAGATGCATATGTGGTTACTTTTCC